ACTCAGCTAATACTGCTAACTCTGCTAATGCTGCTATATCTGCTAACATTGCTAACTTTGCTAACATTGGTAATGCTTTTAACACTGCTAACTCTGCTAATGCTGCTCACTCTGCAGATACTAGCTTTGCTAACTCAGCTAATACTGCTAACTCTGCTAATGCTGCTATATCTGCTAACATTGCTAACTTTGCTAACATTGGTAATGCTTTTAACACTGCTAACTCTGCTAATGCTGCTCACTCTGCAAATGCTAGCTTTGCTAACTATGCTAATASTGCTAACTCTGCTAATGCTTCCCTACAAGACYAATGCAAATGCTGCTAACACTGCTAACTATGCTAATGCTGCTAACTCTGCTAATGGTTCCCTACAAGACATCAAACTTTCAGTGGCAGCTTGCACTTGAAATTTCCAGACCACAGGTGCTCTCCATGTTTTTTTTTCAACAAACACATTTAGAATTTAAATTTTAAATATCATCTTTAGCAGAGTTAGCGTTAGCTTTTGTCGCAAGATGATGACGTTGCAACAAAATGTTGCGCATCAACGGCAAAAGCTGCATTCCATTCCAAAATTCTTAAACGTAAACTTCATCATTTAGCCGCAACATTTAAGATTTAACTTTTACATTTAAATTCAGGATTCAATATTTACTTTTAGTAAAAATTAACAAAATGTAAGAACAGTGAGCTAAATAATGAAAGTGTGTCAGTGACATTTTTAAAGTTTTATTTTACACTTGGTACCACATAGTTTGGGACAATAACCCCAAATCATACAGTTTGAAGTGCATGTTGCATGACGACATACAACCTTTAATCTGCTAACTGAAGCTCAAGTTTTATCATTTCTATAATCATTGCATGGTCTGACCATGGGGTGAACGTCTTGGGAAGATTAGCTGCTGTGTAAAATGTTTTCACATGTGAATAATCTTCCTCTGTGGGATGATGGACTCTAAATAGTTTGACTCGTAACCCCTCCCAAAGTGATGGGCAACAGAGGCCAGTGGCTCGTAAGATTATTGCTGATGTCTTTCCACCCTGACGTTGTGTTTCTAAGAGAAAACTAACTGTAAGACCTTGTAGAAACCAGATGATTCAGTTTTATGTTCTGATCTGCTGAGCCTGAACTGGAAGGTTGTTGAGCATTATGGCTATAATGTAAAAACATCACTTCAAATATGTTGTTTCTAAATTAGGCTTTTCTTTGTATAGATTTAGACTGAGCACCATCAGGGCATTCAGGTACTCAGAAAAGACCCCATYAAGATGATAAAAGGACTAAGAAAATGAAACATCCTATATTAATACATTTATAGTGTAGAGTTTTCAAGAGAATCTCCTCTAACGAGAGTAATCAGCATCTGTGTCACGGTTTGATCAACCAACCAGATTCATTCATGTCTTTAAAGTGCCTGTAACATTCATATCCTTCAAATACAAAAAGTCAAAGAAACACCTTTATATTTAAGAAACTTGACATAATACACACAATTTTACCCATTTTGTCACATTTCTTTTGAACTTGGCTTGGCAAAAGGGAAACAGGAAGTGACATCAAAGGGGAACTCCTTTAGAAATGAACTCTGATCTTCGTTTTTTAAAAACAATATTTTTGAACTTTTCATCTCTCTGATAATGTCTCAAAATAATCTAAAGAAACATCAGATTCTTCTACACAGTCTGGGTTATCAGCCATTATAACAACCCTTTGTTTTCATGCAGACGTTCCCCTTTGACATCACTTCCTGTTACTTCACATGCAAGTATCTCAACAACCGTTCATCTCAGCTGCATGAAATTTTAATTTGTAATATTTTCTCAACGTTATCTTTCCAAAAATGGATTCATGTTTATTACAAAAATTTTGACATCACAGGCTCTTTAAACGTAACAGAAGTCAAACGTCAGTGAGATTAAACCATCTCAGGCTAAATTTAAACCGTCAGGTGAACAAACCTTAAGACACCAAAGAAGAAGAACACCATCAGTTTGAGGAGCTCTAAAAGCTGACAAACATCTTTTCCTCTGAGAGGAGCCTTCAGTGTTGTCTTTTACTTTCCTTTAAATAAGGAACAAACGCTTCCTGCTGGCTGTTGTCACCAAATACTCTTGTTAACAACACAAGTGATGTCAAGCCTGTTCTCCAGCCATGAAGCTAAAGATCCACATCAGTGCTGCTGTGTTGGTTTGTAGGTTTGCTTCACTAATTACTTTTAAAAATGCTCATTTTTAAATTGTTTTGTTAAACGTAGAAACAGATCTGCTCACCGTGACTGTTGCAGCGGGACGTCTCCACCAGCCGGTTGTCCTGGTCGTAGCACACCATGGCCTGGTAGCGGTAGCCCTGTCCGCACTCCTTAATGTCCCCCTGGACCTTCATTCCCATGGTGCTCTCGGCTCGGCCCCCCTCTGGCAGGATGCAGTCGGACCACTTCCCCACCGGCTGAGCGTTGTACTTATCGCAGGGGCAGTACTGCGTCTCGCTCAGAGGGTACATCTGTGTGTTTTTACACTTGTCCTTCTTTTTGCTTCTCCCTGAGGAGTGGAGATGGACGGAGATGAGAGTAAACATCCTGCCACCAGGCCTGTTTTAATTTAGCGTTTATAATTAAAACTCTTATTGTGAAAATCTCCAGGCATGTAAAGACAACCTGTCAGTACATCTTCATGCAGGACACATGAAGTCCAGTCATTGTGAAACACTCGGGTGATTCTTATCTCAGAGAAACGTCTCTTTCTGACGGTGGATCATTACGAGCTGCTTCAGATGCAAATGAGGACTTGCTCTGATGATTTTCTGTCCAACAACCCAGAATATCTTTACCTGCTCTGTTTGCTTCTCTGAAAAATAATTCATGTGCTTTTTTTTTTCTTTTTGGTAAAGTCTATTCTCCATCTTCTGCAACCAAAGTTGGTTTCTAATTGCATCTGAGCTGCACGCTGTAATRTGTCTGTACAGCTGACAGGCAGGAGAAACGAACTCATTATGCTCAACACAATGATCCCCATTTTCCACCCACTTCAACAAAGARGAGCCGCGGCTCTGCCGTGAGTAACCTCCTGATAAAGAGGATTAAATCTGTTTTGTTTTGAAAGTAACAAGTGATTGCGTCACAGCTTATTGATAACTTAAATATCAAATTAACGTCTTTGAACAAGACGCTCCTCTAACTGGATACGAAGACAAAAACTTTCTGATCGATGACGAGTTCATCTGGATTTGTTGRTTTTTTTTAACTGTTCACCATCAAACTGGGCGTTATCTCACCGACGTTAAGCTGCGGAGCAAACAAGCTTCCTTGTGAGGGGCTTCACAGCTGCTCATTGTCTGAWCCTCACCTATCAATGCTCTCTTTCTGGTCCGGACCCCCACACAGTCAGCTGTGCAGGACGAGAACTTGGACCAGTTGGTCAACTGGCAGTCYTCCTGGCAGGGGAGCTGACAGCGCTGAGTGATGGCGGGCATGGCCTTGGCTGAACTCAGACACTCGCTGATGTCGGCCTGCGTCCCGTCCAGCTGGCGACAGGACACGGCTGGACCGTCAGACGAGGGAGGGACAAAAAACAACAACGCTCAGTTAGAAGATGAGTTATTGTTTACTGACTGAACAGACTGAAGGACTCAGAGGTTTATCACAGTTTAATCGAGATCATCCTGTTTTTAACTTTTTTTGTATTGTTTTTTGGCTTTTATCAGTATCTATGTGCCAATTTCAGCTTCTTATTTGCTAATTTTAGTTATATTTTATATATTTATATGCTGCTGATTTAAACATTTTTGTGCTTCTATCAGCTTCGTTTTGCTAAAATAAGCTTTTTATGCTTCTTTCTAGCCTGGTAGAAAGCAGCCCCTTGTTCTTTACTTTGTACGAGSGTCTGGACTCGCAGCTATTGAGAAGGGATTGCTTCCTGGAGGCGTGGCCTCTGTTGAAGTTTAAAGGGATCCACGATTAGTTGTAACATTTGACTTAATTTGATAAACATTTATTTTAACTGTAAAATAATGACTGTAAAAATACTGTAGAATGTTTAGTTTTTATAATTTAAAAAATATATATTTTAAGCAATATCTGATGTGGCATTTCAAAATAATGAAATTCAAAACTTGACTTTGTTACTTCATGTGTCCCTATGTTGCTGTCTTTATAACAGTTGTCAGAGACTGGTCTCACCTCAGGCTGACTACAGAAGTCCTGCAGATGTTCCTCAACAATGTTGAGCAACTTCTGATGTAGCATTTCAAAATAAAAGAACTCCCAATATGGACATTATACAACTATTGTTCCCTAAGTTGCTGTCTTTTTCCATCAGTTTAGGTTCTTATTACTTAAACTGTCTAACACTCTGTTTATTTGTGCTAAATTCAGCCATTTCAACTACCTTTTTTTTTGCTAATTTCAGCTTTTTTGAAGGAACTGAAGGCCCTGTTACAGAACATTTTAGACAACTTATGTCAACTTATGAATTTTTTATGTCTAAATTTCTAATTAAAGTTATATATTTGATCACCTTGTTAGCATTACATTATGTACACACTTTTTTTAAACTTCCATTTTCAACATAGAGGTCTTCAAAAGTTTCTTAAGTTGTCTAAAACTACAAAGGAGTAAAAGAAAAAAATGCTAAACCAAAACAAAAGGTCCAAATCAAAGTAAAAATTTATAAATATTCTGAAAGGATGAGTGCTGTATTTTGTATTTTGTTGCCCATTGTGTACTGATTGTTTGGAGGTGCTCATACATTGTGTCAAAGTTGAGTTGTTTGAAGGCAAAGTTTGTTTTTGTTCCATCTTTTAAATGTTTTGACACAGTTGTTGCCTTTTGCAAACAAAATGTGTCATTTTGACCACTGTGTCAATGTTTAGGCCTCTTTTATGCATGATTTTTGGAGCTCTATTTCTTTCTATTTGAAAAAAAAAAAAAGGCCAAAAAGGCTAAATATGTCAAAAAGTACAAGTTGCTGAAAAACCAGAARGTACAGCTGGAATGTCCCAGTGGAGCTGATTTGATATAT